CCCCAAAACCCCAAAACCCCATAATGCTGAATTATGGAACATATATAGAAATTTATTAATGAAATTAAAGGCAGTTTTTAAATTAAAAAAGAACCTTAGAATTTAAAATTCTTAAAGATGAAATTTAGTTAGGAAAAATAGGAAAGTCAATATGATAATTTCGGCAAAGCTATTTACTGCTCAGTTGGATTTTTGATTCTTTACACAGCATTGAATCCTATACAAAATCTGTATACATAGATTATGTTTAGATACAACAATGGTTCATTTGGTTTTTATTATAGTGCAATGAATTATTTTTGCTCTACGTTTGGATGCATTTCAGGATCATTTATTGTCAATAAATTGGGTGTAAAATCAAGTCTAATAATTTCTGCAATTACAGATATTTTTTGGATACTGGCAATTATACCACCAGCCTTATTTCATGAAAATACAGGCAGTGATGGCTGGTTTATTACAAGTGATGGTTTTATATATACTACTTAAACATTATCTCAAATTTTTCAAGGATTTTTTTTAGGAATTAAATGGGTCGCTGGATATAAATACATTTCAGAATGCGCTTCTGAGGAAACTAAAGGACTTTACTTCAGTTTTTTCTGGGGAATATATATAATATCATAGATTTTAGGCAGTTTATTAGCAGCATTCGTTTCTGAAAATTTCAAACAAACTACATTACTAATTATAATGGCTGCCTTAACTTCCTTATCATTAGTAATATTCTCCACTCTAGCTGATCCCATTCCTTAAGTGAGATACTTACCAATTGATGATAATGATCAGAGCTAGGAAGACCCTCAAAACAGAGAAAGTTCTAAAATTCATAAAAAATACAAAAATTACTCGGCAATACCTGATAATCCTGTTTTATAAAATGACAATAATCACAACAGTAATTTAGTATTTGCTAAATTTTAAAACAGAAGAAATACTACAATTTCGCTTAATCAAGAGGTAAAGGAGACTCTACTACTTATCAAATCTAGAAAGTTGCTTCCATTGCTACCATAACTTTTATGGTTAGGGATAAGTGAAGCTATTTATGTTGGGATATTAGTAAATATCATCATAGATACATAATCTACTGGAAATGACAATCATAAAATTTACATTTCAATGCTTTCAATGGTATTCTTTGGTATTGGAAATATAGTGGGAAGTCTCTTTATAGGCTGGACGATAGATAAATATGGGAATAAAAAGAGTGCCTGGTGTATTATATTGTTCTTGTCAATTTAAACTATAGTAATGCTAGGTTATCTAATAGACTATGAATATTCATGGTTGACTTATGCCTTGACTTTCGTCTGGGGCTTATAGGATGGTTCAAATAATACTTTATCAAATGAAATTCTTGGCTTTGAATTCAAAAATAATTCCTAATGTTTTGCTATATCTAATCTATGTGTGGCGATTAGTGCTTCCTTGTTTAATTGTATCTAGGGATTTGTAGATGGATAAGAATAGTACATCATTTATACATCGGCTATTGGATTTATAGGAATATTGTCAAATATTTCTACATTATATTTCAAATTCAAACCCTTGCCCTAATAACTAAGATAATCTATGAAATAAGAGGATTTTTAATGATGCGAATGAATAATTAACAAAGATTAATGAGATTGAAATTATAAATTCCATTTCGATATTGAGAATTTAAAAAGAATGTAATTCAATAATTAAATCCAATATAATTACGAGGGGTTTTGGGGTTTTGGGGTTTTGGGG